AGATTACCATCGCACACACGAAAGTAGTAGTCACAAACAATATACGAATACGGTGTAATCGAAATATGAACGGAAGTTTAAAAACATTCATGGCTATAATTTCAAATAACTGAAACTTTTCAAACGTTAGCAACCGCAATTCTACGCTCGAAAGCCTGATGTCGTGGCTTTCCTTTACATCTTCCGGGACAAAATTCCGTAGCAACTAAAATATGACTGACAGCACCTACCTTAACGACACGAAAACCCAGTGGTGCGAGTCGACTGCAAGTGAAGCTAGAGTCGGGAATAAAACGTGGTTCAGGTGGTTCCGAAAGTGCCATGAAACTTTAATCGACATCTTTGTAGCAGGGTAAATGGGAGTCGGCTTTGAGCATAACGTTGCTTTTAATAAATCTTCGTAAAAAAGCAATCCCTTTTGCAGGTGGTTTCTTGGTGTTGCGGATCACCAAATGACGCCACCTTTAGCCTGTTATCAACCTTTGCAAATACTCATTTCCGCAAACGAATGCAAAATTTCTGTCGGTTTGTCAGTACCGACGAATTCACTGACAAATTTTGACTTAAATAAGCAAGAGTTCAACTGACATGAACCGACAAACCGACAACCGACAAATTTTGTCGGTTTGTCAGTACCGACAAATTCACTGACAAATTTTGACTTAATTAAGCAAGGGTTCAACTGACATGAACCGACAAACCGATAACTGACAAATTTTGTCGGTTTGTCAGTACCGACAAATTCACTGACAAATTTTGACTTAATTAAGCAAGAGTTCTACTGACATGAACCGACAAACCGAAAACTAACAAATTTTGTCGGTTTGTCAGTACCGACAAATTCACTGACAAATTTTGACTTAATTAAGCGAGAGTTCTACTGACATGAACCGACAAACCGACAACTGACAAATTTTGTCGGTTTGTCAGTACCGACAAATTCACTGACAAATTTTGACTTAATTAAGCAAGAGTTCTACTGACATGAACCGACAAACCGACAACGAACAACTTTTAGTTCCTGAAATGAAGAAGAGATGTGATGTTGCAGCATCTCAAGTCTTGAAAACGTTTCAATTAAGCCCATATGTATCAGTTAACACTTTGGTGACGGCCAGCGAGAAAGGAGAAAAAAGATGTTTTCATCATTTCCCATCTTGAACTGATTTTTGACTATCATAAGAATGGGTAACAATAGGGCCATTTATACGAGGAAAAATAAGACGCGTCTTAATTAAGACGCGAACTGTACCATTTATACGAGCATGTCTTATCTAAGACAAGAACAGCTCGTATAAATGGTTTGCGTCTTATTTCTGTTCTTGACTCGTTTTCATGTGAATGTTGCCCGTAGCAACGGCAATCCAACCTGGCGCGCCAGAAATTTACGCATGCGTATTATGCGTTCGCGTCTTATGTAAGACGCGAAGGCCATTTATACGAAGTTTTTCTCGTCTTAGCTAAGACGCGTCTTATCTAAGAACAGGTGTTAAGGGCTGTTCTAAAATAAGACGCGTCTTAGCCAAGCCGCGTCTTATTTTAGACGAAATGTGCCGTTTATACGGAAAGTTCGCGTCTTACTTTTTCTCGTATAAATGGCCCTAATGAGGTTTGCAACACAGAGGGCATATTTCCGACTAAAGGAATGTAATTAAACAGAAAAATTATTATAAACATTCTTTTTTCGCAGAAGCGCACAAACCAAAATTGAAACTTTTTTAGGATCTATTTCGATCTTTCTCAGTCTCGCTTAGCCTGCGAGCAAGCTCTTCTATTTGGGCGAGCGAAGCGAATCTCGCGAGAACGCGCGAGCGAGCGGCGAAGCCGTGAGGGGCAGAGGAAAGGAGAGCTTGCAACGATCTCTCATAAAATTTCATTTGCACTCCTCCAAGAAGAAGGAAAATACAATTGGCTGAAAAATGACGTTCCGGAAAACAAAGTTGATTGGTAACAGGCCAAGCTCGCACCTCCTTCGTCAGCGTGACAAGTTTGGTTCTCAGGGGTTTCAGCCCTCAAAGCAGACGAGGGGGCTCGTTTGATTTAGTGTCTGGCAAAGAGAATATTGCGGGCCGTGGATAAGTCGAACTGAGTTTATAGTTCTTGTGGAAGGAAAATGAAAACCCTTCATCAGCTGTATTCGTTTGTGTCAAGCGCGTTGTTTAGTTCTGAAAACGAGAAGAGTGAAAGTGAAGAGAGATTCAAGCTCCTTGTTCAAGCGCTGCCTTCCAACGTCGGTTTCGTCGCCCGATTGAATTCCACTGGGTAGTTAAAGTCAGAAACATATACTTGACATTGTAGCTGTGTAGCCTGACTGTAAAGAACGACAAGAGAAAGAGTTGGTAGCAACTGGAGTACAACTTAAGAGAACCAAGTCCACGAAAACGCTATTCTCCAGTTCCGGAACGGACAAACATGTAATGTTTTTGCTGGTGATTGCGACGGGGAGTAGTCTTCTACACTGCAGTATGGACGACTCTTCAAAAGTAAACGAAACGAGAATCAAAGTATTGAGTTCTCATCCGAGCGGACACGTTGAAGTTCGATGTCCGCGTGGAAAAAAAGCATACCTTCAGTGATTAAAAACATCGTTTTGATGCTGCTGCGAAATCGATTTTTAAATAAATAATTCTACGCGCCCTCGGCTGTCTAAACTTGACAAGCGGTTGTCACTTGTCTAATCGGAGCGCCGTGGGCGTGACGTTCTCGGTGACCGTTTTCACACTTTGCGGATTCCCGGGGTTTCCGGGGTGGAAATGAAAATTTATGAGACAACAACAACTACAAATTTTATTGAAAATTGGAAAAAAAACTAACTACATTACATTACGCTAATTACATTACTTTCCCACCCGAGAGAACGTTGCAAGCTCTCCTCTTCTCGGATCCTCGCTCGCGCGTTCCCGCGAGGCTTGCTTCCCTCTCCCAAATAGCAGAGCTTGCTCGTAGGCTAAGTCTTGCTCGATGTATTTTTCCTTTGCCTTCCTTCTTTATAAACTGCTTTATTGCCCACTTTATCTTCTTTCTTTCGCATTGAATTGAGGCTGGCTAATTTTTAGCAAAGGCGCAATTTTAATCTTGAAAGATTACTGCAGGTAAAAGGCTAAATTAACGGTGGATTTTCTGCGTGGCAGGCGTCGAAAGGAATTTTCTTTGTGAGTGTAACTCTATTAAGATTGCTCAGAATATCCTGAGAACGAGGCATCAATGGAAAGATATATATTTGATGACGTTGTTACATGGTGGTTTTGGTTGGGAGCGCGAAGTAATAGAGGCGAGCTAGGGCAGAGAAACCTCGAGGAAATTGGGGTAGCTTCAACGCTCGTTCACGCGCGCTCCGCGCGCAGATTTCGCGTTTTCCTGGCTTTGCTGCTCGCGCCCCTCGCTCGACAAAACCGGCATGCTACACCGGCTACCGTTAAATTAATACTGATACTTGATTTGACACCCGGTATGTCATATACGTGCCATTGTACGCCGTAATTGAATGGTTAAAATTGAAATTTAGGCATGCACAGTCATTTAGAATTAAACACAAAATCAGATTATTAGATCCACAATAATACTATAAAGCTATAAAGGTGATTAGAGATTTACCTTTGAAATGTATTATATATTGTTGAGTTTTGTCGAGTGTGCTCCTAGGCCTTATCATGGTGGTTTCACATTGCTTTTGGTCCCAAAATTCATGTGAAAGGCATGGACATGATACTGTATACAGATGAGATTAATAAACTCGTATAGTGCCTGCAACACCATGTGTGTATTTCCGTTTTTCCGTTACTGGCCCTTTGCCTTTGGTCGTTTTCCTTCCATATGAAAGTATGGATATTTTCACTGACCGTACCCACTTTAATAGCTTGCACTTTAACCCAATAAGTTGCTAAGCAACAACGTCATCAAATATAATCTTTCCATCGATGCCTCGTTCTCAGGATATTCTGAGCAATCCTAATAGCAATCCTAACACTCACTAAGAAAATTAGGAAAAGTAACATTTTGGGAGAAAATCCCTTGTACTAAAAAATAGCCAGCCTCAATTCGATGCAAAAGAAAAAAGATAAAGTGGGCAATGAAACAGTATATAAAGAAGGAAGGCAAAGAAAAAAATGCAGCGAGCGAGACTCAGAAAGATCGAAATAGATATCCTAAAAAAAGTTCCAATTTTGGTTCGTGCGCTTCTGCGAAAAAATATGTTTAATTACATTAATTCCTTTAGTCGGAAATATGCCCCCTGTGTTGCAAACCTCATTGTTACCCATTCTTATGATAGTCAAAAATCAGTTCAAGAAGGGAAATGGTGAAAACGTCTCTTTTTTCGTTTCTCGCTGACCGTCACCAAAGTGTTAACTGATACATATGGGCTTAATTGAAACGTTTTCAAGACTTGAGATGCTGCCACATCACATCTCTCCTTCATTTCAGGAACTAACAGTTGTTCGTTGTCGGTTTGTCGGTTCATGTCAGTAGAACTCTTGCTTAATTAAGTCAAAATTTGTCAGTGAATTTGTCGGTACTGACAAACCGACAAAATTTGTCAGTTGTCGGTTTGTCGGTTCATGTCAGTTGAACTCTCGCTTAATTAAGTCAAAATTTGTCAGTGCATTTGTCGGTACTGACAAACCGACAAAATTTGTCAGTTGTCGGTTTGTCGGTTCATGTCAGTAGAACTCCCGCTTATTTAAGGCAAAATTTGTCAGTGAATTTGTCGGTACTGACAAACCGACAAAATTTGTCAGTTGTCGGTTCATGTCAGTTGAACTCTCGCTTAATTAAGTCAAAATTTGTCAGTGAATTTGTCGGTACTGACAAACCGACAAAATTTGTCAGTTGTCGGTTTGTCGGTTCATGTCAGTAGAACTCTCGCTTAATTAAGTCAAAATTTGTCCGTGAATTTGTCGGTTGTCGGTTTGTCGGTTCATGTCAGTTGAACCCTTGATTAATTGTGTAAGTCAAAAGTTGTCAGTGAATTTGTCGGTACTGACAAACCGACAAAAATTTTGCATTCGTTTGCCCAAATGAGTATTTGTAAAGGTTGATAACAGGCTAAAAGTGACGTCATTTGGTGATCCGCAACACCAAGAAACCACCCTTTTGCAAGTAACTATAAAGATGACTAAAAAATGTATTTTTTGGTTTTGGAAGGAGAACCAACGTAACAAAATAGAAGTACCGAATCCTAATAGAGGCATGATCCAATG